ATTATTGAGCAAGTCAGGTAGGTGGTAATCAACTACTAAATACTTCTGACTTCTGATTATGCATAGTTACAAATTAATTTATCCAACTGTCATAGTAAAGATCTGATTGAAGTTGTGACATTTCTAATGCACTAAACAAACGACTTTTGCTTTGGATTGGTTACGTTATAACTACTTTTAAATTAAAAGTAGTGTGATTCTCTATTATTAAGTGGTTGCAGATATCAACTCATTCTTATTGTAGTTCGAAAATATTCTCTTTCGGAAATCACGAAGCACTAAAGTGACGAGCCAGTGACAAGTATAATTTAATGCGAAATTGACAAATTTGATAACCGATCACTGAGAACTTGACTATTACTCAAGTAAACCACACATTTGTAGAGACTTACTGATTCTGAAGACAGTATTCTCCCTGAGTGACTTCAACAGTAGGATTTTTGAAAAGCAATAAAATTGAACACTAGTTTTGTTCCCGTTCTCACTTTCCCATCACTTAACATCGATTCCACCTGAGGTCGGGTCAAAAGCTCTAAGAATTTAAAATATCGCTTCATCATTAGGAACTAGTATGTCAGTATTCCAGGTGTTAGGTTCGATTCCACAAAGAATCATTGATATACATTCAACTAATTTGTATTTGGAGTACGAAGGCTACTAAGTGCTCACTTTTTCCGAAAAATCTTTTTCAACTTGGAATTTGGAGATGACTTTTTCATCAAAAGTCGATGTAAGGAATTTTTTGTTTTTATGAAAATATGAGTCACATGCGTTATTTCATCGAAGTTATTTAACTTTTAAACGTTTGAACGTATTCCCCATATACAATGAAACAAAAACCTTGCCAAATCTAATGAGTCTGAACAGAATCATTTTGATTAGTAGCTTATTTACTCCGAATAGTACTGTCGACTTTTTACTTATTTATAACCGTCGACGAAGAAATTACTTTAGTCAATTAATTTAGAGAGGTTACTCAAGTAAAGTGTATAGCGTTTAGTGAGAGAGATGTGAGAAAGATGTTAACACTGATCACCATATAAGAGCATAAAATTTTTAAAAACTCGCACACTGAAGGATTATTTGACAAATTATTGATTTATTTAGGCTGCATATTATGAAATTTTAGACTTAATGACATTTCGTTCTCGTTAAGTCTGGTAGCAGTTGATTGCTTGTCTCTTAATTAATCAAACATCTTGAGCCATCAGTAACCAAGCAGGTTAAAGGTTTCAAAAATAAAACTTACTAAAATTTTGAATTCATGTATAAGTGTACATTGAGGAAGTAAACAAGACAACATTTCGAAACTCGATATTCATGAATATTATTAAGTTGCATTTTGCATTTATCCTATTCCCCACTGTTTATTGTGACCATTTTTATTAAAAAGCGTTCGTACCACTCACAAATTTTTTGATTATAATTCATGAATAAATAATTCTCGAAGCAGTAGATTTTACACTTTAGAGTGAAAAATCACTTGAAAATCATGAATTATCCAAACGTAATTATTCTAAGGCATGAATAACTCCAAATCGAAAAGATAAAAGTTAGTCCAAATAGAAGTGGGACGAAACGTGTTCGTCACACAATAACAAGGATTTATTACAGTTCAGAGAATTGAACCATCTGAAGGTTTAAGGTTCGATCACTAAGCAAGATTTATCATTGTGTGATAGTTAAGACAGTGATGAAGAATAACTCAGAATTACTTAATGTGTTCTTCTAGGCGGCACACATTAATATGAAGTGAAATTTATGGGATTTATTCATTTAAATACTAACATAAAAACTTATTCATAACAGTGATTATTTCAATTGAATATACATGGATAATTTTTGAAAATGGAATAATTGCAAAGTATACTTTTCTTTGTTGAAATATTAAAGACAGATTTTGTTAATATAAAGATTCTATACAGGTTGAAAATATTAGTCATGAACATCAACGTGTAGTAATTCCATCTTTAAATTGTTCAAAATGTTCTGTCTAATTGTTTAACGCGGAATCCCTACTTATTTAAAGCCCCCAGATGCCCTGATACGGTTGAGAATGGGAAGAGTCCGCTAACCATCTCGAAATGCTCTCATATGGTCATGTTTATACAGCCACTCCCAGGGAAGTCCTACTCAATGCCTCGCGGCAGGGGTGTTGTTTAAGAAATTGAAAGGACGAAAAGCGAATATCTGGCGCTTTAACTGGGTTGGTGAATATGGAGGATCCACCCAGGGGAGTTGGAAAACTTTGACTCCAAACCAATGGTGATCATGGGCTCTAGGATCCTAAGGAAACAAACGACGTATGAACTTACTGTCGGTCACCGGCTACCATAGTACTGCATCTTCTCACGTCGCTCCACTGTTTTGTGGACTGGACCTTCAGGTCAAAGACTCGGGGAGTGCCCCCCCCGGGAAAACCACCTGCTTCGGTTTGGGCACTTGGGCCATATCATAGCCCTCAGACAAATCAGTAATAACTGCTACTGGCCTCATTGATATTGTATGGAGCATATGTATTTGGTGCCCCCCTGTACTATTGTTTATGTGTTCAAATAAATAAACGTATTTAAAACATGGACATTTTGGTACAACTGGGCATTAAGAAGGAGAATGCATCACAGATCTTATAAATGATAGGATTCAATGAAACTTGTCCATGTAAAAACTAGTTTTTGTGATGGATGATTTATCCTAGTGAAAACTAACAACTTATTCTGAAGATAGTTGTTATCGTATACAATTATCCTATAAACAATTACTGAAATAGTACAATCTTTAGTTTTGATTGTTTCACGTTGTATTTCGTTGAGTATACACAGATTCTAATAAAACATATTCCCAACATAATATCTGACGATTATCAATTTCACTTAGAAGAGAGTTACCCATGAGAACTATTGAAAAGAGTAAGTTAGTAAGACATTCTACATATCCTCACTTTTTCTACATAATCTAATGGTTTATTTATTCACTAACTAATTTTTGTTCTTTGTTGTCCTGTTCACGTGTTCTTCTTGTATGACCATTTATATACATACTTAGAAAGAAATGTCAATCATGCAACTTTTAATTGAAATACAATAACACTTGTAAACTAAGCATATTGGTAAATACAGACCACAGGACATATTTGCTCTTGCTTATTCACTTAATTCGTGTATATCTTATTAGGTTCAGCTAGGATAATATAACGATTTATTCATCATAGATAAACAATAGAGAAGTTTCTTCCAATCTTATTTACTTTTTGTAAGTACACGTATATGTGGATATATGGATAAACGCACTAGTCTATTAAGTAATAGTTACATGTGAGTTGGTGAAACACTATTTTCTCAAGCTGTTACTTCATATCCCCTCTCCTGACAGATTCAATTGCAAAGTGATTTCCACTATATATGGATATGTGATGAGGCTATCTATCATGTGGTGTAATCAGAGGGGAGTACAGAAAAAAATCAAATCCGAAGAGAAATTCCAACTATCCTTGTGCATAATTTGTTTGTTATTTCAATTATTCAATATATATTAAATACAAACTTAACACACATTTAATCAAACGTTATGCCAAACACATGCTATTGACATAATTGTAAAATATTTAAATTACAGTCTATAATTAGAAAAAAACGTGGTTGAAACTGTAAGTTGTAGTTACTTGTTTGAAAAAATATTCACATATCACTGGGATTTGATTAAGTTGGTAAGTAACACGTGTTAAATATTGAGAATGTTTACAATCCAATCAAACAAAACTAATTAATTTATTAACAAAGTGTGTCTAAAGCAAAAACAAATTTGTTAAGCAAACAGTTGAGAAGCACCATTTCTAAAGACTTATTTCAAAAATCAGTCGATCACTGACAGGTTATTTCCATTGGTAAATCGTGCTGTAGCATTTGCAGAACATGGTGTGCATACAATCACGGACATACAGCTCATAGTACTTTAACTATTGATATACAAGTTGTCATAATGTCCAAGGAATAATTAAGACTATATACCGAAGCATAGAAATCTGAGGAATAAGAGTGACCTAGTAGTTGCGCAGAAGTATACCATGAGTGTTTACTATTCCACTACTAAAGGTTTTATAAGCACAAGAATACGGATAGGAGTTCCAACTGATTTAAATGATAAGAGATATTAAAGCTGTTCATATATGTGAATCTCAGTTATATATTTGTATGCTGCCTGATCAACAGATTAAACGTTATTTACGCTTTAGTAATCATAACAAACAAATTTTAAGCTCAGTTGAATGTTCAAACTTACGGTAGACTCTCAAAATGTCATTATTCACGAGTGGTGTTTGAGACATAATTATAGCGACTCACGTGCAAATGGGTTTATTCTCATTTAACTCAGTTAAGCCCTTTTGCTAACTTATTTAGCGGACAAAGCCATCCGCACTATAACAATTTATTGTACCCTTATTATTATTTTGTGCTTGTATGAAATACTCATGCTTGAATATTGCTTACGGCCTACGCATTTATTCACTCTGCTAGTCTCACTACTAACCGCTTATTTGATTCGATTACTCATTAATTTCACATGCTATATATATGTCCATGTTATTCATATGGCTGACTCTGCTTTCTCGCTCGCTTGATTGTACTCGATTACTTACATTCGCTCAGTCGCTCGCTTGCCTGTTTGCCGTTCGACACAACTCTTAATGCTCGTTTAATGCATCTGTAATTTTGGACATCTGTGTGTGTGGTCTCGAAATAAACGTAATCAACGCTTCGTATTCGCCTTCTGAATAATATACCGTTGGGGTTAAATAGGACGGTTATCAAGACGAATTGTATACGAAGTTTAAGGGATATATCGAATACCGACCACCACAAATACACAAAATATAGACTGTCTGAGCTATTTATTACATTTACTTTGTACTAAAATACAATATCTTTCAACCCCTTTAGTATAAATGAGAAGACATTAGTATAAATTTAGTTTCAAATAAATGTATATATAAACATAATTTTTTAAATATCAATAATTACAAATAATTCGTGCATATGTTCGTTTTCATGAATTTGCATATTTGAATAGGTAATAGCTTTCACTTCAGTACCCTGGAATTTTGCAAAGAAAATGTTTAATAAAAATTACAATTATTCGAAATAAAAGTAATATGATCTCCAATAAAATATGATTTAAAAGACATGTTGAAAGTTAAGTATGAGCCAATGTCGTGCTGTTTGGAATAAATCCTACAGCAATAATAATAATAATAATAATAATAATAATAATAATAATAATAATAATAATAATAATAATAATAATAATAATAATAATAATAATAATAATAATAATAATAATAATAATAATAATAATAATAATAATAATAATAATAATAATAATAATAATAATAATAATAATAATAATAATAATAATAATAATAATAATAATAATAATAATAATAATAATAATAATAATAATAATAATAATAATAATAATAATAATAATAATAATAATAATAATAATAATAATAATAATAATAATAATAATAATAATAATAATAATAATAATAATAATAATAATAATAATAATAATAATAATAATAATAATAATAATAATAATAATAATAATAATAATAATAATAATAATAATAATAATAATAATAATAATAATAATAATAATAATAATAATAATAATAATAATAATAATAATAATAATAATAATAATAATAATAATAATAATAATAATAATAATAATAATAATAATAATAATAATAATAATAATAATAATAATAATAATAATAATAATAATAATAATAATAATAATAATAATAATAATAATAATAATAATAATAATAATAATAATAATAATAATAATAATAATAATAATAATAATAATAATAATAATAATAATAATAATAATAATAATAATAATAATAATAATAATAATAATAATAATAATAATAATAATAATAATAATAATAATAATAATAATAATAATAATAATAATAATGCAACTCGTTTACGAGGTACAGGGCTTTTGTGCTTTTCTAAAATTAAATCTGTAAATCATATCAATAAGTTTGCAACCACTAACCGAAATAACTAAACATTATACAAAGTACTTTAACATTCAGGACAAAACGAAGAGTATAACCAACCTGAGGATGTTTTGAAATGTCAAAAGGTTCACCCCAACTATAACAATAAATTAATGACATTGGTTTTCTTTTCCTCAAAAAGCACAGAACTTACCCAGATGATTTGATGTGGAATTTTTCCTTATCAAATTCTGTTATTTTAACAATCTAATAAGAAAAACAAATGTAGTATAAACAAACAACCCAAAAATTCAGTTTGTAAACAACTACTAAAGTAATTGAAAGTTTCACTCGAGAAAAATGATTTGAAGTTCATTCAGAAAGCAACAGGAACATATGAGTGACATAACAAATGGCACTAAATTACAAGCGATGTACAGACGTTTGACATTAAAAATAACCGAATATGCAGTGAGGGAGGTAAATCTACAAGTATACTACAAATATTTAACAATTACATAGTAATACTAGTTACAAAAGGAGGATGAAGTGCATTGAAATAGAAAGACCACTACAAAACCCCAAATGATAAAGTCACCGGTAGAAGAGTAACACAAGCATAGAGAAATAATTACCCAACATAGGTAATTACAATTCTTCGAACGATTACTATAGTATGAGGATTTTTCAAAAGCTAGCTAAGAGTGGTGGCTAAAACATCTGAGTTTTAGCTACCAGGTTACTATTTGAAACTTTATTCTAATTATTGAGATGTAGGCAACTAGGTAATATAATTGTCCACTTCTTTGACTACCTCGATTTATTATAATAAGGCCTGATATGTAGATAAAGCTAAAAATATAAATCCTCTAACTTTATTTACATCTGAGGCCTTATTTGTTAAAGTGAAAGGATTTAGTGAAAACATGTCATTGTCTTTTAATTAGATTGAAATTTTCAGTCTAACTGCATGTAAACAATTGTTAACAAAATTATGAGTAGTTTTGATGCTATAACTTTTCCTCAATTTGAAATAGTTAAACCAGATCTGAGTAATTATTCTAGTATCTTAAGCAGTTTAGACACAATGAAACTTACAACAAAGAGTTGGACTGAGCAGATTTTGGGGAAAGTTTGAACGATATTCGTATCAAATAACAAAATATCTGATATAATCAGATTGAGTTATTCAATCGGTTTGTAACATTAATCATTGACTACTAAACCACGGTCAATATGAAACATGTGGTATTGTTAACGTGGACACAAAGAGGTTGTCGGTTATCATCCGAAGTCACTTGACTACTTAAAAAACTAACTTCCAATAAACCGATACGCAAAAAATACACAAGATTTCTTCATTAATCAACGAAGATTTACCCGTGGAATGAAAAATGGATCAGCTGAAAACGCGAATAACCATTCATCCAGAAAATGAAAAAGTAATGACATCATATCGTGACCTGAAAAAATTATATTGACAGATATATTTTGAGTATGAGAACAGTTTAGACACAGGTTGAACAAAGAAAGTAAATGAGTCCACAAAACATTCCCCAAGACCAATACGAAGTAATACATTTACTGTACTAGACTCTTCAAAATCGTAAAGCATACTTTTGTGATTCGCACACTGCAAAAACATTGAGATGTTATGCGAAGACATATTTTACAGGAAAACGCTGAAGATTACCTTCTCTTTAGTTGTTTGAAAATCTACTTCGACTTTTTTAGATGTACTGATCAACTAGTCGAAATTATGTTTAAATGCACACTTGGGGTGGGTGTTTTTTATGGATCCTTAATTAAGGCATTCTCCAGTTGCTTGTATGTGCCAGATTTCAAGTGTGAGGGCTAATAATATTACCCCGTTGCCTAAACCGAAGGTGTGGTGGGGTTCGAACTTAGGACTAAGTGGGTGAAAGTCGAACACCTTAACCACTAAGGCACATGAAAAGTGATTGCTTTTTGAAGTGGAGAGTCTTGTGACAATGGCAGTATTTGCAAAGAAGAGTAAGTATTTATCAGTGTATAAAAAATAACTTGATTTATTTAAGGTATTTAGGAATTTCTCCCGGCATTTCGTGTTCCAGACTTTCGCTACTTCTCTGATCTAGTGGTTAAGCTTGAAAATCGTAGTGACTTAATAAAAACGCATCAGCCGAAATCTTTTTTAGATGTCTTGTGACGTTAGCAGGTTGTTCCAGATCAATCAAAGCCGATACAACGGATCATAGGTCCGAGCAAATATATGTGTCTTTTAGAAAGCATTGTCTACATTACTGACATTCACCCTTTCCAGTACTTTTTAATTTACGAAAACAAAACGTGGACCTATTTACACTATTCAACAAATAAACGACTAATAATTAGTAATCAATACCCACCAATAAACAGATAAGATTTCTAGTGGCCATTCCGATGTTTAATTCAAGGATCTTTACGGAAACCAATGAAAAATTGTAAACCTAAGTAATAATTACTTAGCACACGAATGTATTTGATATAGACTACTAACATAACAACTAATGCGTTATATACAACGAAGAACATCATGCGCGTTTACCTAAAACTGTGATAACGCAAAATCGTAGAAAAAATGAATGGAGAAACTGACCATCAGCTTCAATTTCAAATCTTTGTGAAGTATCCACTGAGTCGTAGTTTGTTGTCATATAGTTGAACATCGCCATGGCAATCTATTTATAGCATAACAATATCTCCTGATGAGTAGATCAAATGCAACTAACTTGTTCAAATGCTTCTGTTTGGTTATTACCCCAGGAATGTAACCTAATAGAAAAAAACCACGTACACAAAAGATCAGGGACTCATGGGAACTCAATCTAGAGGCAGTGATTAGAATAAAAAGTAAGAATATGTTATAATTTGTGTCAAATAATAAATATTTTCTTCCCAACTATGAGATGGTCATTTTGGTTAACATCCACTAATTGAACTGAGTTTAAGTATAATATATTTTTTATCTAAAGAATTTTGGGACGGTACATAGATGATCTGATGGCAAAGTGTTACTGATAAAATTTATTTACAATTTGAACATTTGAAATAAATGCTCAGCAACCAGTGCCGCACTAAACTATCAGTATAAATCCATGAGTAATGAAAACAAGAGATATGGGTTAGATAAAATGCCGCATATATACCTTGCTTTTACTTTACCAGAGATGTCCCAGGTCAAAAATTACTCCAAGGGAGGTCAGAATTTCTAAATATTAGTAACACTGTACCATTTTATTATTTGACAAGTTTGGAATAGATACTTAGATAAGATAATTGCCTATTTGTTGGGAAAAGGTACTGGTAACACGACTGTTAAAACAATTAAATTTTCCTACTTCTGCACAGGAAGTGATACTATTCAGAAGCAACAAAAAAAATTTAACTTTAATATTTTTAAAGTCATATTATTGGATGCGTCCATATCATTTGTGAAATGGTGGTCAAAGGAGCATACGTATGTTCCGTCAGTGAAAGTTACTATTCATATAAACCTAATATGAAACGCTATCATGTGGCATTTAGTGACAGTTTAGTATGTGCCACTGTGAATCTGTTACTCAAAAAAAGATACTTCGACCTAGAGTACATGAATGACATTATTTCAACACGACTACTAGCATTTTACTTAATCAAGTGAAAATTGATGTGCATAGGTACAGCAGGTCTATGAAGGCTAAAATCTGTCTCAGGACCAATTATGGTAATAGGACTATTAAAATGGTATGAACGTTCACACTAACTACACATCAGAAGCACTAATTTCAAAACATAATAAAACATTGATTTTGCATCATTTAAAAATCTGTTACACATTACATTCAAAGAACGACTAGCATGCTCGCTTACAACCTCTAAAATTTATTCGATAGCTTAATAACACTATCAAGTTATAACAACATAATTTCGGCTCCACTTGAGTGTTTACATTTATTAATCCAGTCTTGACAGTGCGTCATTTAATAAGGACAGTGGTATTTTTCTTCGCTGAGTTAATTTTATTATTGTGAACGTAATTTACGCATCAAAACTGCTCTTATGACTTTAATTGGAATTATGTCAGCTGACGTATTCGCCAAGAGTACTGTCTTTTTTCAAAGTAATTCATTATCGGTTCTTTTGAGTACATTGGTTCTTCTGTATTTGTTTGCACATTTGGTTCTAACAATTAAGTTTTCAACCTTTTCTGGTCATCACTTTTTCTTGTCTCTGGGTATTGTTTATGTCTATTTTTTACTGAAAATCTCTGATTGATGACTGGACAGTGCAAAACAAGTAATTGCCAGCGCCCAGGTGGTCGATACTCTGTGGAAAGTGACATGCAATGTGATGAGTGCAAAGGATGGTACCACGAAGTTTGTACGAATCTAACACCTGCAGTTTTTAAACGATTTAGCAAAAATAGTTGCGTGTGGTTGTGTTGGCACTGCTGCTTGAACACAAACAGATTGCTATCTGAAGCCACTGCAATGGTGATTGCTGCTAAGAGTATTATCAGGCGTATTCGAGACACATTAGACAGCACTTACTCGGTCAACACAAGTTCATGTGAAGTCACCTCAAATAAGCCCTAAGTCGATTGACTTATATGGGTCAAAGAAGGGAAAACGGACTTCAAAATGTCTGCCAGAAATGAAGTTCCTTCTGTCCCCCGTCCTCCAAATAGCAGCCAGCAGGAAACGTCTAGAAAACTTGGTCGTAAGACTAGGTTTGTTTCTAACAGAAAAAACAAAAACCTGACCACCCAAGTCATCGACAAGCATACAGGACCTTACAATATGTGACGTGACCGTGCTACTCTAACGAAAGTTGATGGATAGGTACATGTCGAGAATAAGAAACGACATAATGTTATTAAAGAAAAGCCAACACCCTAAAAGATAGTTGAGAAATTAAGGACTGATCATAGTAACGGCTATCTTTCATAGTCAAGGAAAGTGAAAGCTAAGAACCCAAAACTCGTTTAAAAGATTTATAGACTAGGTAGCCAAGTGAATTTGAAACAGAATCAAACCAGGCTGCTTAAAGTTGTATTTAAATTTCCCAATGAACGGGACTTAATACTACAGAATGGACATGAACTGAAGGGGTCATGAGTTTTTGTCTGTAAAGACTTGCCGCTCCCGGACCGCATAAAAAGACGAGAAGCCGAAAATGAACTAAATCTTAGGTTAGATGCTTGCAAAAAGGACCTAAAAATTGTAAATGTTCAGGTGGTGAGGCTTTGACAGAAAATGATGCTGAAGCCACTCTGGGTGCAACACGAAGCCGTCTAAATTAGCTTCCAATCTGTTACACAAATATCCGAAGCTTGCACAATAAACGATCGGAGTTAGGTGTACACACTGACTCTACCAAGCCGGATCTAAATCGCAGTCACAACAACTTGATGGACGCAGTCTATAGACATTATGCAACCTGATATTGAAGGTTTCAGGTTAGAAAAAGCCGACAGAATCCACAAGTGTAAAACAGGAGTAGCTCTATTCATTAGGAATACTATCACATTTACCATTATTGACAATGTATCCCATAAGTGGGACGTGTGAATTAGTTGCAGCTTGATTTGGTCTACCTCAGTCCAAACTACGAGGTGAATGAAATATTGCTAGACAGTCTCGATACTTGGTCACAACGTGGTTGATATCTAATCCTAGAAGACTTTGATACACTTACGATAGACTGGAAAAATCTAAGGATTGAGTTATCAAAGAATTCCTTCGAACAGGAACTAGCTGAGGCGGTTACCACATGTGCCCCAGTACAACATGTGAAAGAAGTTAACAGGTACGACCCGAACTCCGAAACATCCTCACTAGATCTCATATTGACCCATAATGGAGATGACGCCACAAACCTAGATTATATGCTACCCTTAGGTAAGTGATCATGCAGTTCTAATTTTTGACTTCCATATAGGTGTTATAAACCAGCACGTGTCAGCCCAACCCAGATCTAACGTTTGGAAAGCAAATATACAAGATATGAATCACTCAGCAGACGAAGTAGATTGGTCAATAGAGCGAGAGTCCCCAATTCGAACGGCTTGGGATGGATTTACAAATTTGTACTTAAAAGTCACTGCGCAGCACACCTCTTGGACTACACTAAGGGGTCCGAGAAACTCTCCGCCATGATTCGGTAAAGTTGTCACCCTTCTCTGTAAGAGAAGAATATGGGAAGGATTTAGGGCACTGGGTACCGATGAGACAAAATGTCAATATCGAGATGATCGAAATAATTGTGCCTCGACCCTCCTCAAGTCTAGAAGGTTATACGAAGAAAAATTTTCAAGGAATCCATAGAATGCCCTAAACACTTGTATTTGTATATAAACTAAAGGACTAAGAGAAAAGGAAATATTCTAGCACTATAGGAAGACAGTAATACTTTACCATTACTGAAGGACGACTATGGTAAAGCCCAAGTATTCTTAAACTACTTTAGCAATGTATATACCGTAGATACACTCTTCCCGTCAGTTTATACAAATATCCCCACACATACTGGACAACGTGACCACTAAAGAACTCGATGTGCCTTGATCTGCTAAACTAACTTGATATAGACGAATCCATGGGAACCGATAAAACGCATCCCAGGTTACTAAGGGAGCTAGCGAATTTTGTTGCGAATCACTTAACCATATGTTTTAATCTATCCGTAACCCAAGGTAGATAACCAAAAGACTGGGAAAACGCCATAGTAAGTCCTGTCTTCAAAACAGGTATGGAACATAAACCCGAGAACTACCGACCCGTAAGCCTAGCTAGCGTGACTTAGAATTCTAGAAAATATTATTCGTAAGTAGTGGTCTAAGTATCTAGAAGAAAACCGGGTTCTTTCTGAAAAGCAGCATGGCTTCGGAACAGGTTATTCCTGTCTCATTAACTATTAGTAGCCTGTAAAAGTTGGTGAGCTCTTAAATACCAAGTTACCAATAGACGTAGACCACAGTGACTTCAGAAATTCATTTGACAAAGTTCCTCACAACCAGCTGTTAAGTTAAAACATCGAAGCTGGAGGCAATTTATTAGTGTGGATAAAAGAATTCCTAGTTGGGCGCCAACAAAGAGTACGGGTGGACTCGAAAATGTCTAGCTGGGAAACTGTGCTTAACAGAGCCCCTCAGAGTGCAGTTATAGTGTCAGCGTTATTCCTCTTATATGTAAATGACCTTCCTAGTCTCTTATCCCGACCGTTGTTGCTACCTTGACGTGGTGGTCGGGCTTGCCTATCGTGATGAAGCAAACGAGCTATACTGGCTGGAACAACCGTTCCTCAAGGTCCTACCATGTCAGACAGGTCGGTTGAAGAGCGGTAAGACTAAAAGCAACAAACCCAAGGTCCGAAGGCGAAGTCGTACTGCTGACTGTACAGAGGTGTGACAGCAGCAAGGTGTTTCCTTCAGACAACCAGCATGACAGCGATGCTGCCTTCCCACAAGGAGGGGTGGGGTTAGAAAAGGTCGACCTAAAAAATGCGCACCTCACCTTACCTCACGGATTTCCGTCTCCGGCGGTAAGGCCCTTTGAAGAACGGAGCTAACACGTCAAAAACCTCCCACGAAAAGGCCGCGCGCGACCGGCCTCAAGCAGTTGTCCCTTGGGCACTGCGGTCACGCTCTCAGGTCACTGAGACCACCTCTAATCCAATTTTCTTTTCAGGTACCTCCAGAACAACCCTTCTACGGTGTGGGCAACCGGGAAGTGATAACCGCCCTCATACCTCTAACAGCACCCAAGACCACTGTATTCATAATCAACCTTCCTCTTCAACTCCTATTATTCCTCCTACATCGACTTTCAACTCTAAATTTCCTCTTTCGGCTTCCTCCTCAAGTGTCACCATAGCCAACGATTCTAGTGCTCAAAACACTGTCCCCAGTCTACTAAAACCTCGCTCCAAACTACACATTGGAGCTTTCAACGTACGCACTCTATATCAAATCGGTCAGCAGGCTTCCTTGGCTAAAACCCTAGAGTCTCTTTCCATTGATGTATGCTGTGTCTCCGAAACACGCATACAGGATTCCAGTATGGTCATTCACTTGACCTCACCTCGTCAAAACGGAGAGCCAACGAGATACACCCTACGTGTATCTGGTGACCCGATGGCCAGTTCTCGTGGACTGGCGGGAGTAGGCATAGAACTAAGCATGAGGGCGGAACAAGCACTGCTAGAGTGGATCCCCGTTAACAGTCTATGTGCTGTTCGGCTAAACGGCTACGTAAGAACTCGGAAGGATAGGGACACACGTCGTTGCCTTTTTGTCGTTTCTGCCTACGCTCCCACTGACTACAGCTCAGATGAAATGAAAGATGAATTTTACAGAAAGCTGTCCGAACTTCTGCAGAAAGCTAAACGCTCAGACATAGTACTCGTAGGGGGGTGACTTTAATGCTCAGATAGGTAGCTTAAACCAAACAGAAAGGCATTTAGATGGATATTTTAGCATTCCGGCACAGCGAACAGATAATGGTGACCGTCTGCTGCAACTGTGCTCAGACAATCGTTTATTTTTAGCAAACACAAATTTTAAGCATAAGGAGAGACATTGTCTAACGTGGCGACCGCCTGCACCAAGCCAACGATGGACTCAAATAGACCATATTGCCATCAGTCATCGTTGGAGAGGGTCGGTACAAGATTGTCGCTCATTCCGGTGTACCTGCTTGGACTCCGACCATGCCCTAATACGGGCACGCATCTGCTTGCGCCTCACTGGACGCAAAAAAGCCACATTAAAAAGACACATGAGAACTTAGTTGAGTAACGAGAAAACCAAAAGTAGGTCCCAAGAACAACTGAGGTCACACTTAGGTAGTTCTAAAGACGAGGCTGACCCAGATGTTGCTTGGAAAGCTATACAAACAGCTATGGAAACAGCAGTGACATCTATTAGCGACTTAAACCACAGAGTTACAAAGAACCAGTGGATTTCTTTAAAGTCTATCACACTGATGGATTCTCGCAAACTCGTCCCATCAGGTTCCGAACATGAGGAAGAGCGACAACAAATCAGATCTAGGTTAAGAAAAAGTCTAAGGAACGACCGTGAGCAGTGGTGGGTAACGAAAGCAAAAGAGATGGAAAAGGCGGCGACTATAGGGAACACAAGACAGCTTTACAGACTAATAAAAGAAACTGGAATTAATAAGTCAAGTGTAAGTGAGATTATATCGGAAAAAGACGATACACTCATCTGCTCCCAGTCCAGACGTTTAGAACGATGGGCGGAACATTTCAGAGAACAGTTCAACTGGCCTCCAGCTACTCTACAACTACCCTCCATTCCCAGACAGTGTGAATGGAACATTGAAGTAGGTCCCCCAACTCTTGCTGAAGTTCAAAAGGCTATAGTTAATCTGAAACGAGGAAGGGCAGCTGGTCCAGATAGATTGGCTCCAGAGGTCTTTAAGGATGGTGGTCCAATTTTAGCGATTAGGTTGACTAATATTTTAGCTAAGATCTGGGAGTCAGACGTTATCCCATCTGACTGGTCACAATCACTTATCGTCCCAATATATAAGAAAGGGTCAAAATCATCCTGTGACAACCACAGAGGGATTAGTTTAACTAATATAATATCTAAAATACTAGCCTCGATAATTATCAGACGCCTAACTAAGACTCGTGAACTGCAAACACGAGAGAACCAAGCTGGCTTTAGACCTGGTCGTGGCTGCATCGACCACATATTCACCACTCGTCAGATTCTAGAACACAGGCATACTTATCGGCGTCCGACAATGGTGGTCTTTCTCGACTTAAAAGCAGCATTTGACTCTGTAGACCGCGAGACTCTGTGGCAGTGTCTGTCATTGAAAGGCGTACCTCAGAAGTACATAAACCTTATAAAGGCTCTTTACTCGAACACTACTAGTCGAGTCAGAGCTTATGGCGAACTGTCATCTACTTTTGCAACCTCAAGTGGTGTCCGTCAAGGCTGTCCACTTTCCTCATTTTTGTTCAACTTCATCATAGATCTACTGATGGAAATAACATTCTCGTCGACTGAGTTCTCGGGTATTGATCTCCTTCCAGGAGGTCCACTTATCGACTTAGAATACGCAGATGATATAGTCCTGTTTGGTGAAGACGCTGATAAATTGCAGAGTCTTTTGGTAGCACTAAGCAACAATGGCAGAATGTTTGGAATGCGCTTCTCTCCCTCTAAATGCAAGTTGTTGCTTCAGGACTGGTCTGCGTTAACACCTGAACTAAGGATAGGGAGTGAAGTAGTCGAACGCGTCGACAACTTCACTTATCTTGGAAGTCTGATCAGCCCTAATGGGTTGGTATCGGACGAAATCTCAGCACGGATTCGAAAAGCTCGATTGGCTTTTGCCAACTTGCGTCACTTATGGCGAAGGCGAGATATCCGTCTATCAATAAAAGGACGGGTATACTGCGCGGCAGTCCGTTCTGTTTTAATTTACGGCAGCGAAACATGGCCATTAAGAGTAGAAGACACTCGTAAGCTATTAGTATTTGACCACAGATGCCTTAGAAATATTGCTGGCGTCTGCTGGGATCACCGGGTAAGTAATAGTGAGATTAGACGCAGGGTATTAGGGAATGATGGTAAATCAGTTGATGAGGTTATGAATCTTCATCGACTGAGATGGTTGGGCCACGTATTACGTATGCCTGAACACCGATTACCACGATGTGCAATGCTAACCGGTGTAGGGGATGGTTGGAAGAAAGTTAGGGGCGGCCAAACCAAAACGTGGCATCAGTGCTTGAAGTCACTAACTTCTAGTCTGAGCCATGTTGGTAGATGCAGACTACTTGGTTGGGGTCCGCGTGACTATCGTAACCAATGGTTGAAGACTCTTGGTGACATGGCTCAGAATCGATCACAATGGCGTCGGTGTATACACTCTTTGTCTTCCCTTAAACTAAGAGATTAAAATCGCTTCATATCTTTCTTTCTACGAACCAATTCTTTCTTCTTGTACTATATCTCTATATGCAATCTTTCTCTTATATATTACTACCTTTAACCTAACCACTGCTACGAATCCGGTGTTCATCTTGTTGTGCTGATGCGGTATGCCAACCTGGACCGATGCACATATGTGCCTGGTCCTACGTTGTAGCTGACTGACTGACTGACCTAGTCTCTTATCATGATCGGTTTCGTTATATGCTGAGGATGTCAAGATATAGAGAGCGCTAAAATGTAAAAGTAAAAGTTTGGAGCTTAAAAATGACATGGAGAAATTGTCTTAATGGTCGCAAACTTGGCAGTTGCCGAAGAATACTTCCAGATGCACTGTTATGCATACTGGTCACCAAGATGCGGATACGTACATAGTGAGCTACCTGTTCTCCGGACACACATTGTTAGTCAAGTCTTAGGAGCTACTGCACATTGCCGTGTAGTAACCGCCGAAGGTTTTAGAACCCCATGGTCTATACGTAGGGCCTTTAGTCATGTAGACGCTAAAACGTCCCCGACTTCATGCATAATATTCGTGCGTCCAAAACTAGAGTACTACATGCAAGAAGCTAGCCCCTGTCTAAACAGACAGTAAGCTGTTGGGAAGGGTTTAGAGAACTGTAACTAAACTAATTACCGGAATGCCAAGGCTTCCGTATGATGCTAGATTGGCTAAACTAGGCCTGTTTTCATTGTTGTATCAATGAACCAGAGGCTACTTGATCAGTTTCAAATCACTTAGTCAAAAACTTTCATGTGATATGCCCTCATTTTACTCGTTTTCCAAAACAGAAAATTTACGGGGAAACTTCAAATAATTTCATAACTTCAGAATAAATTACTTGTCAGATGATTATCGACTATTCGATCGTACCAATGAATGGAGCTCAATAACTCAACACGTAATTGAAGCTCTATCGTCGCTTTTAAAAGAGGATTGAATCAACTGATAGACCACTACTTCCAGGACAAACACAATCCACCGAGCCTTCTGTCATTTCCAAACTGAGACTGACCAAGTGAACGTCAGTGCAATATCAGGTAAAGTGTAAATGAATGGAGCCTATTCATCGTGGACTCTGAAGACTTATCAGAAGTTACATATTGATACGTAAATTTTAAAGACATTTCACTAACCACTGTCAAAATAAAGTCCTAAGAAATCCTGTATCAGGATTGTTTTGACTAATATATCTAAGATAATATTGGTTTAGGACCGCAAAAAAACTACTCACTGTACATCAGCAGTGTGATCTAGATCTGGAACGCAAATCAATTAAAGTAAAAATGCATAATTACATTCATATTTTACTTCTGGAATATCAGGAACCTCAAGAGCGTCCAACCCAGGCATGTTGAAAGTGAACTTAGCGGTAATTTGAAGGTCACCTGAGGGTAGAACTAGCTAATCACAAGAACAACTTCTGACACAAACCTTGACTTCTATAATGAAAAGAATTGTTGAACAGGAAATTGATCCCCATTTGGCATATATATATTATACAATCAAGTATTAGTAAAGTTAAAAAAGTCCACCTGGTCAGTTTGGAAATGACAGGAGACTCGGTGGCTTGTGCTTGTCCTGAAAGCGGTGGTCTATCAGTTGATCCAATCCTCTTTTAAAAGCACCGATAGATAGAGCTTCAATTACGTGTTGAGCTTGTAGTGGCCTACTTTTATCGAGAGAAAGCGAATGATTTAATTGAAACAATTATAATTATAACTAATTGTAACAGGGATTGTTTTGCCGTACATGTTTGTTTGTATCCCTGACGCGCTGTCTAAAAAGGACAGTGGTATTGTTTCTCGTTGAGTAAATTAACTGTTTTGATCGTATTAGAAGCGATGGAGTTTTAAGTCGCAATGGGGAGGCATAATGTTATACGTTAGGGGTCACTTTCGTATACAATCAATCATATCGGAGGCTCATGTTAGTGGTACATATGAGATAGCACGTTGTTAGATTAAATCTAGAAATGGGTCAGTGACTATAGGGGGAATATACCGTATTCCGTTTTGTCTTGCTGACGACTTTATCCTAAGACACATCTGTTCTTGGAGTATGGTAGAATGTTATCTCATCATTGGGGACTTCGACGTACCGCATATCAACTGGGTAGAGCTTACAGCTCCAAGTAGTGGTTTCGATAGCGACCTTTTATCTACCGTTATTCAGTGTGCACTTGTACAATGTATCAAAAACCGACACATATTGATTTCAATCATTATCCATCACTGCTGGACCTCGCCCTCACTCACCACTGTGAGGATGTCTTTGATATTCAGCACCTTCCCTCACTAGTGAACAGTGATCACGTTGTAATTCACTTTAAGTTTAGGACACATGGTATACAGTTAGTATCTGCTCCACCCCGTCCCAATATCTGGCGAGCTAATATTCCGGCGATCAGAAACTGTGCTATCTCGACTGATTGGTCGGTCGACGCGGATGGATTGATCGAAGATAAATGGAATAGGTTTAAAGCTACATTGGAGTCCGTAACGTCGCCGTTTATCCCATGGTCAGCACGTAAGCTATCACACTGCCCTCCATGGATTAATAAGGAAACCCGGAAGCTGTTAAAGCGTAGGAAACATTTCTGGGACCAATTCTTGTTGACAGGTCATGAAACTTTTAAGCGTGAGTACCAAAAATTCCGTAATATCTGTAAGAAAACCATAGCCAAATCCCGTACCACTTACGAACGACAGTTGGTATACGATAGCCGTACTTGTCTGAAACGATTGTTTTCGTATGTTAAACGGCGAATGAAACGTAGCGATGGTATTCATCCGTTACTGTTACACGAAAATCCAGATTTACTAGCTGAATCAGATCGAGCAAAAGCTGAGACGTTTTCAAACTATTTTAGCGAAGTCGACTCTACGATTATTGTAACAAATACTTGTCCCACTCACACCGAGATACCAGCCATTGCATCTGTACAGGTGACTGGGGAAACTGTCCTTCCGTTGATAACAGACCTCAAACCCTGTAAGATACCGGGCCCTGACGGGTTACATCCACGGTTGCTGTAATCTCTTGCGGACATTATTTCAAAACTGTTCGCGTCACTCTTACACATGTCCCTTTCACTCGCTCAACTCCCTACAGATTGGAAAGACGCTATAGTCAGTCCTATATTTAAGAATGGTCAGAGACAGATCGTATCTAACTACTGGCCTGTCAGTCTAACTAGCATTGTCGTTAGGTTCCTTGAAAAGATAATTCGGGTTAGGTTGCTAAGGCACATAGTTTCACACAATCTGTTAGCTCCTGAGCAACACGGATTTCGTAACAAGTGTTCATGCTTGACTAACTTGCTTATTGCGAGGGAGGATTGGACAACAGCCCTAGATAACGGTCTGTCTGTCGATGTGATATTCATAGATTTTAGCAAAGCATTTGATAAGGTTTCACACTTAGGTCTTATGCAGAAGCTCACGAGCTTCGGAATAATAGATATTGTACATGAATGGATAAGAAACCTCTTATGTGACCGCAGACAGAGTGTAAGGGTCAATGGGACGCTATCCGGTTGGAAGCAGGTCAAAAGTAGTGTACCCCAAGGCGCCATCTTAGGCCCCCTTTTCTTTCTATACGTTAACGAGTTATTGCGGTTGCTTAGGTCATTGAAATTATTGTTTGCGGATGACGTTAAAATCTGGAGAACAAATAAAAAGTGAGGCTGATCATCCGGATCTTCAAGCTGACTTGGACGATTTAGTTAGATGGGTTCAAGGTTTGAGCTTAGAAATCAATACTAGGAAGAGTGTGCTAATGCACATCGGTTACGATAATAGTTACCACTATAATATTGATGGTATACCTACTCCATGCGTTCAAGAGTATAAAGACTTGGGACTAATAATAAGTCATGACTCAAAAACAACTACGTATTGCAACGCAGCCGCTGTCGAACGTTTTCGTGCGTTATAGTCACTTCGCCGTGCATTCAAATCTTTTGACGAGGAAATGTTTCGAATTTTGTATCTCACCTACGTAAGACCACATTTAGAGTACTGTGCTCAAGCAGCTACCCCGTGTCTGGTAAAAGATACTAACTCACTTGAGCATGTGGAAACGAAATTAGTGAAGGGTCTTTCTAAACTCCCTTACGATGAGCGTTTAAAACGCCTAAACCTTTTCTCCTTGTCGTATCGTAGGACACGAGGTGACCTTATACTGAAATTTCGTAGCTTTAATTATAATTTGGGTGTTAATATGTCTTATCTTTTTGCTCCCTCCAGCACTAATAATCTCCTAGGTCATAGCAAGAAGGTTGATAAACCGAGATCTAATAAACTTAAAGTGGGGTCCCGTTTTTCCCATCGAGTAGTCAATGATTGGAACGCCTTACCCGAACAAGTGGTATCAGCCCCATCAGTGAATATTTTCAAGGAGAAACTGGACCTTCACTGGAAAGCAATCTGTCAGGATTAACATAGGTTCACCAGCCTACTATCCTTATTACTGAAGACTGAAAACTTAACTGTACCAAAACACATACATTCTTCCGTTGATTGTGACCTTGCACGAATTCGGTTACTCTCAGTAACCACACTTGTAACCTGGCACGATCTCGGTATTCTTTCGATACCACGAGATCGCCAACAAATACGTCTCGACTACAGTCATCAACTGTCTTCTGATATTTGGCCTACGGGGGATCTCATCGGTTAACTGGCACGTAGTCTTCCTGTAGTGGTGATCATATTCAACCGCGACTCGACGCCACACTACAAGTTAATGAGCTCCATTCACTGGTTCGATCGAATAGTCGATAATCAGCTGACAAGTAATTTATTTTGCAGTTATGAAATCATCTGAAGTTTTCTCTTATATTTTCCGCTTTGAAAGACAAGAAAATCAGGCTATGGTAGATCTTTAACATATTCCGACAAAGATTGACATGATTTTTACAGAAAGCGTTAACCACTCTCTGCAGATTTAGTTTCCTCACTAGTCAGCCTCAAGTTGTTTGAGAACGTATGTTGTCACAGTAATATGAACAGGCGGGACTGGACTAATGAATGTAAAAACTCAAGTGGAGCCGAAATTATGTTGTTATAACTTGATAGTGTTATTAAGCTATCGAATAAATTTTAGAGGTTGTAAGCGAGCATGCTAGTCGTTCTTTGAATGTAATGTGTAACAGATTTTTAAATGATGCAAAATCAATGTTTTATTATGTTTTGAAATTAGTGCTTCTGATGTGTAGTTAGTGTGAACGTTCATACCATTTTAATAGTCCTATTACCATAATTGGTCCTGAGACAGATTTTAGCCTTCATAGACCTGCTGTACCTATGCACATCAATTTTCACTTGATTAAGTAAAATGCTAGTAGTCGTGTTGAAATAATGTCATTCATGTACTCTAGGTCGAAGTATCTTTTTTTGAGTAACAGATTCACAGTGGCACATACTAAACTGTCACTAAATGCCACATGATAGCGTTTCATATTAGGTTTATATGAATAGTAACTTTCACTGACGGAACATACGTATGCTCCTTTGACCACCATTTCACAAATGATATGGACGCATCCAATAATATGACTTTAAAAATATTAAAGTTAAATTTTTTTTGTTGCTTCTGAATAGTATCACTTCCTGTGCAGAAGTAGGAAAATTTAATTGTTTTAACAGTCGTGTTACCAGTACCTTTTCCCAACAAATAGGCAATTATCTTATCTAAGTATCTATTCCAAACTTGTCAAATAATAAAATGGTACAGTGTTACTAATATTTAGAAATTCTGACCTCCCTTGGAGTAATTTTTGACCTGGGACATCTCTGGTAAAGTAAAAGCAAGGTATATATGCGGCATTTTATCTAACCCATATCTCTTGTTTTCATTACTCATGGATTTATACTGATAGTTTAGTGCGGCACTGGTTGCTGAGCATTTATTTCAAATGTTCAAATTGTAAATAAATTTTATCAGTAACACTTTGCCATCAGATCATCTATGTACCGTCGTTTGTTTCCTTAGGATCCTAGAGCCCATGATCACCATTGGTTTGGAGTCAAAGTTTTCCAACTCCCCTGGGTGGATCCTCCATATTCACCAACCCAGTTAAAGCGCCGGATATTCGCTTTTCGTCCTTTCAATTTCTTAAACAACACCCCTGCCGCGAGGCATTGAGTAGGACTTCCCTGGGAGTGGCTGTATAAACATGACCATATGAGAGCATTTCGAGATGGTTAGCGGACTCTTCCCATTCTCAACCGTATCAGGGCATCTGGGGGCTTTAAATAAGTAGGGATTCCGCGTTAAACAATTAGACAGAACATTTTGAACAATTTAAAGATGGAATTACTACACGTTGATGTTCATGACTAATATTT